TTCATATTCCTAGTAGGTGTTACAGCCAGAGATCCAATTTTGGTCTTTGCTGGGTTTCTGTCTGCTGGACTCTGTGTCGGCTGCTTTCAACATTCTGTTCCTAACTAAGATGGATAAGTACTAGTTTACTGTATTTATTTCTTTATTATTCTTTATCACGAGTCACTTCCTCGTGAGATGGGCTGTGCCCAAATTTGAAATATAAATGAATGGATGAATGAATGAATGAATGAATGAATGAATGAATGAATGAATGACCTTCCTTATTTACTCAGAGGCTTATTGGCCACTCCACACAATGACCTGCCAGCACAGACTGGTTTGCAACATACAGAACCCATAACAATGAACATTAAAACTTTACCCCCCCTCCCCCCAAACCTACACAAAGTCTAGCATCAGAGCAGTTCTTCCCTCAATTGTATCTGAAATGCTCTATGGAAGAATTCTATCTTCGCTGCCTCCCAAAGCACCAAGGGAGGATACTTTTGGAGGCATGTATTTCATAGAAGGGGTGCATAACATGAAAAACAATGTGCTCTCCCCTCTCTGAGACTGTACCTATTTCTGTGCTGACATCCATAGCTTTATCTACACCTACATCCAGAAAGAACGTCTATGGCACTGATTAATACCTTCAGCATTATTCATGTTCTCCTCCTAGTTATTACTCTTCCTCCCAGTCCGCTTTACATTCAAGGGACTGTTTCATCCTTCATTTAGTGCCAGATATGAATCACAACCCTGGAAAGGAAACTTGTATACCGAGAAGGGTGAGAAATCTCCAGGGTTTTTACTGCCACACCTCAAGGAGATCCAACTTTGGTATGCGAAGAAGGGGTTCACCCAGTGACCTCCTTCTGAGAAAACACGAATAAGCATATCACCAAATACAAGTTATCGACCCTATGGATTGTACTTAAAACAGAAAAGGTTCCCAGACAGCACTGTTGCTCGGATTTAAGAGCTGGCGCATGGAATTTCCCTGCAAAAATTGTTTCTAATAAGGAGAGTGAGACGTATGGGAAAGTTTTGGCTTTGATGTGGTTCCTGAATGGGTGAAGTCAATTAACTGCCAATTTCTTTTTATTGAAAAATGGACAAATTCCAGAAGACGAGAGAAAGCCTACAAACTCTTGCTTATTCATGTCTGTGTAGAGACTTCAGCCAACAGTTTATGAAGAAAGGAAAGAGAAAGGAACATTAGCAACCTCTTTGGTACTTTCTCAGGGAGAGCTGTGAATTCCTAAATAAGTGAGACTTCAGCTCAGTGCTGCTGGTGTTAGGAGGGATCTCCAACTAAAGCTGCAAGTAGGGGAAGAGGGGGAAATGTGTGTCCCAGGATATTCTGCGATCAGGTTGTGCTTCTTTCTGTATCTCACGCCCCCCGTTCTGTCCGTCAGATTTACTGGAGTCATGGAAGATGTTTCCCTTCTTAAGTCAGAACCCTGGCAAGACTGAATGACTTTGAGTGTTGGGGCCTTCTGGTGCTGGGGCTATGCCATCTTTGGTGGTGGATGGGATGGCACTGCCCCAGACAGACCCGGTGCACAATCTGGGGCTCCTCCTAGATTTGGGACTCCTGCTCAAAGAGCAGGTGGCAGTTGTGGCTAGGAGGGCCATTGCAGAGCTTTGTGTTGTGCACCAGTCGCACACATTCCTGGATCGGGAGGCTCTGCTCACAGTCACTCAGGGCCTAGTCACCTCCAGATTGGACTACTGTAATGCACTGTACATGGGGCTGCCCTTGAAGAGTATCTGGAAGCTTTAACTGGTGCAGAATGTAGTGGTGCGGGCAGTTATGTGTGCCCCCAGCTGCATTGGCTGCCAGTTTGCTTCCGGGTCCAATTCAAGGTGCTGGTTTTGACCTCTAAAGCCCTTCATGGCATGGGGCTGGGTTACGTGAGGGACCACCTCTCCCCGATTGCATCAGTCCGTCCCATCAGATCCAGGAGAGAAGGCATGCTGTGGTGTCATCTTACATTTGGTGGGTCCCAGGAGGCAGGCCTTCTCTGCCGTGGTGCCCGCCTTTTTTATTTATTTAATGCTTTTAAAATAATAACAGAAAAAGAGAAAGAAAAGAAATAAAACACAAAGATAATTATAATGCAAATACATTCTCAAAGGAAAAAAATGATGCACAAAAAGTGCTTTTAAAAAAGTGAAAAAATATAACAGAAAAATGAAACAGTATATCAGTTAACAGTTACAGTTCTATATATACCTGTCTAATGTAAATATTATTCAAGTGTATATAAATTTCTAATATATAACTATCATTTTTTAAGCTACTGTATTTCGAATAAACAAGTTCCATATTTCATTATATTTGTCTATAAAAAGTCTACGTCTATTTTATTTATTTATTAAACAAATTTATATGGCTGCCCAACTTACACACGATGACTCCGGACGGCTTACAGGCTATCCGCTCATAGGTGGCAAGTGCAATCAGGTTTTCAATCCATTGAGTGAATGGGGGCCACGCATTTATCTTTCCATTGCTGCAATATAAGTCTTCTGGCCATCGTAAGGGCACAGAGAATCCATTTACCTTGTCCAGTTGTCAAATTCCATGTACTGTACTAGGCATACAGTTCAACAGAATATTATCCTCTGAAAAATTTAGTTTTTGTTGCACGATCATATTTACATAGTTCCCTACTTTCTCCCAAAACTTAATAAGTATAGGACACTGTAAAAATATATGTTTTAAAGAAGCATTGTCCTTAGTACATCTCCAACAAAATGCTGTTTTTGACAATCCTTTTCCATACAGACATAGTGGAGTCCAATAAATTCAAAATACTATTTTTTGTTGTATTAAGTTGTAATTTGAGGTCCACTGACACTCTTGGTATAGAAGTTACGACACTCTCCCATTGTCTTGGCAATATAGAGACTTCTAATTCTTTATCCCACTCATCCCTTAGCATCTGCATATCAAATCGATTTATTGATAACAAATATCTATGCAAACTAATAGTAGGCTTTTTTTAATTTTAAAGGTTTTAACAAGTTGTTCTAATATCTCAGGTGTCTCAGAAGCTGGAAATGCTGCTGGTCCAAACAATGTTGTTAACAAATGTTGTAGCTGTAAAATATTGCCATTGGGTTACGTCTGATAAAATGTACATTCTGTTTATCTCTTAACACAGCATATGTTAAAAATTCATCTTCATTGTCTATTAGTTGGTCCAAAGTCAATATCCCCACTTCCATTCAATTTTTCCATATCACAATTTTTTCCCCAATTTTTAAAGTTGGGCTTCCCCATAAAGTCAATTTAGCATGGGAAAGAGTCAAATCTTTTTTTATTAGACATTATGTTCCATAGCTTTCTAACTGATGAAATTGCTTCCAGAGATATTAGTTTTAGTGTATTATGATCCTAATACTGTCCATCTGACCAAAGGTGTTATATATATACATATATTCCAAAGTTGCCTACGTTAGAAAATTAACACCAATTGTCAGCTTCCAGTATTTAATACTTGACAGTAGGTAACTATGATGATATAGCTCCAGATTCGAAAAACCAAATTCTCCCTCATTTAATTGGCAATTGCATTTTCTGTAAAGATATTCTTGGAATCAAACCCCATAGAAATTTTCTAAACATAGAATTTATTTTCTGAAAATATTTTCCAGTTATAAAAATTGGAATTCCTCTCAGAATATAAATGAACCTGGGAATAATATTCATTTTGATGGTGTTCACCTTTCCCCAAAAGGTGAGGATTAATGACTCCAATCTATTGATATCTGAAGAAACCTCTCTATGTATTTTATTTATCTTACATGTTACTAATTGAGCTCTCTTTTGGTATACACACCTAGATATTGAATGGGTTCGGTACAAATACGGAATTGGTGTTCCTTAAATGGAAGAGTAACCAAATTTTCACCTATTGGCATTAATTCTGATTTGGACCAGTTTATAGAGCATCCTGTTATTTTACTAAAGGCATCTATCATTTACATCAACACTAGAATTAGGAATGTGAGGCTTAGAAATAAACAAAAGAATGTCATCTGCAAATAAAACTAATTTGTGTTCAACTGAGTTATGTACTACTCCGTAGATCTCCCTATGTTGTCTAATAACACAAGCCAAGGGTTCCATGTAGATATTAAAAAGCAAGGGTGAACATGGACATCCTTGTCTAGTTCCTCTAAATAGTGGGAAAGTAGGAGAACACAGGCTATTAACCTTTCCTTTAGATGTGGGCGGCTCATAAAATATCTTGATCCGTTTTTTGAATTCCAAGGAAATCCGAACCTGTATGACAAACATGTACTGTTTATGTTTGTTTATTTTATTTATTAAATTTGTCACCACCCATCTCGTGAAATGACTCTGGGCGGTTTACAAGAAGATAAAAATTTATTAAAATACAACATAAAAACAGTCCTAAAAATAAATAAGTTCCAAGAAGATGGAAAATTGGCATTCCAGGGAGCATCATCAGGGGGCTAGTGGACAGGTAGAGCCCATATCGGCCCATGCACACTGACAGCACACTGACAGCCAGGTCTTTAAACCTTTCCGGGAAGCCGGGAGGGTGGGAGCCCACCACACCTCTGGGGGGAGAATATTCCAAAGGGTGGGGCAACAGCAGAGAAGGCTCTCTTCCTGGGCCCCACCAACTGACATTCCCTTGCTGACAGGACCCACAACATGCCTTCTCTGCCTGACCGGGTGGGACGGGTTGATGTGATGGGGGTGAGACGGTCCCTCAGGAAACCTGGCCCCATGCCATGTAGGGCTTTAAAGGTAATAACCAACACCTTGAATTGGACTCGGAAGCAAACTGGCACCCATTGCAGCTCCCACAGCAAAGGCGTTACATGTGCCATCCTAGGGGCACCTAATATCATCTGCATGGCTACATTTTGAATATATATTTTGTCAAAGGCTTTTTCAGCATCTAATGATAACATTACAAATTGATCTTTGTTTTTATTCAAGTCTATTAAATCTACAACTAACCTAATGTGGTCTGCTACTTGCCCAGCTTTGATAAACCCTGCTTGATCATTCTTAATAACGAACAAGATCACGTGCTGTGATCTGTTTACTAACCTTGCTATTAAGCTTTGTATCCACATTAATCATTGGCCTCTTTTTTTGCTTTCAGTGATTAGCCAACATCTTGCTGGGTCTTTCACTGTTCTCCCAGTATCTCTGTCATCAACATGCTAGCATGATATACGAGATATATTCACTCTCTCCGTGCTTTGTGGTTTGTATATTCAAATATTTGTGGTTTGTAGTCTTTTTACAAGGTGGGAAGAAGTTGTGCATCAACAGATTAGGGATATCCCAAAGCTGAATGGGAGAGCATGTGCCAAAGTGTGCAGGCATTCATGAAACATTTCACTCTTGGCCAATTTCAAGCTATCTCCGACCACAAGGAAAAAATAAGATGCAAGGAAGCATTAGCTGGAAAGAAAAAGATGGAACCAGTGTCATTTATTTGTTTTGATGTATTCCAACAATGAAGAATAAAGGCCCTTAAACGATTGTTCCTTGGAACATTCTGTTCTCACATGATCAGCCAATCTATAGAGCCAAACTAGCTCACCATTCCAAGTTCTCTACTTTTTTAACAATATCTGAATGCATGCAAATAATGGGAATATCATTTCCATGTTTCATGGGGGGCATTTGAAAGGCATGAGCCAATATCACAGAGTAAACAGGTCTGTGTAATGCTTCAGATTCAGAGAAGTGCTTTGAGTGTGAGAGGCCACAGACCTAACAACCATCTGCAACTCTTTAAAGCAGCTATGTCTTTTCCCACAGCAATGTGATAGCTGCAGAGGGAAACCTGTACCTTATTCCAGAACAAGACACAGCTGCTTTAAAGAGCTGCAGTAACTGCTATGGTCATGATTCTGCATTCTCTGAAGCATCATTTCTAATTTATTTCTGAAGCTCTGCAGTGCCCTCTTAACAATGCAATATAAACTGTAATTAAAAGCAAAGTGATATCAAAGTATGTGTACGATATGGAAAACCAGGCCTAGGTACAAGCTCATAACCACTGTCTCCATGCCACCTATGAGTTGGTAGGCATGTAATGTGACATTTGGCCAACACTGAAAGCAGATGCCACACTAAGTGTGAAACAACCCAATGCCAGTTCCTCAAAAGCAATGTTGAGCAGATGAGACTTTGTGCAGTCATGACAAGCCATAAGCTGAGCTTGCCATGTTCTGTGACTGCAAACCAGAATCCTATACTGGCTTCTAACAGACAGAATTTACTGAATAGGCCTAAAAAAATGTAACCATGTTGGACAAAGCAGTGGAACAGAAGCTGATTTGTTGGGGCTGGCTGGGCAGAAAGAACTCCAGCCATAGCTTTCTAATCCATATCCAGCTGGTCCTAAATTCTATAAAAAACTAGGATTTGTGAAGAGTGACCTCCTTTTCCAAGGGACATTATGCAGTGCTGAACATCTCTGTTGCACAGAATGTAAGACAGCCACAAATCTTGTTCAATCTGCATTCAGGGCAACATAATGCCAAGAGATAATGAAACTTTATTGGACAATAATCTTTTTACAGTTTCTCCAGATGCTGGGCACATGCAATACCTCTGGGTTTCACCCATTTATAAAATGGGTCCTGGCTATTCTTTTTCCTCATTTAACCAGGACAACCGGAGGCAGAATGTCTTCTCAAAGAGTCCTCCTCTAGCACTGCACCTTGGATCTTTTTTCTACTGTACCGTAGAAAAAAGTAACAGACCAGGAAAGAAAAGACTAGAAATCAGCTTTAATCCTGTGCATGAATATAGGAACTGAGTGGAAAAAGCGGGACGGAGTGTTCTGGCAGCGCTCTCTCCCTCTCCAACTGCAGCATTTGTGAACTGTACATTTGCTGTAAAAGAAGAGTCCGTTCCCCCACTTTCAATTGCTCCTTTTCCACACAAGTGCAACGTCAGATTGTGGAACATCCCAGAAGACAACCGGAACATGGAATTTCCAATATTCCAACACCTCGTCTCCACTTGATAAGCTGTCCCCAGAGTCTTCAACCCCACAGGTTTATAGCTCTGCCAAAGGTATGTGTCCTGTGCATTTTTGGAACATCAATTGCTCCATCCCTCTCTGTGCTCAGGAGGGAGGGAGATCATGAAAGAAAGGATCCTGTCCCAATTCTTCTCTGTGGATGAGGACTCTTGCAAGACACCAAGAGAGGACAAGAGTGCCTTTAATACAGGGGTTCCGAGAATCTTCTTGAGAGACAGAGGGAAGGAGAAAAAATGGGGAAGAGAAAGAGGAAAAGGGTCTCTGTGCAGGACAAAAGTGTCTGGCGCTGAGATCCTTGGTGGCTTTCTATGTGATGTCCTTCTGCCTTGGGGGACGGTGGATATTCCTCACCACGCACTTCACCATCCACTCGATCCCTTCATTTACTCCTTTGCTGTAGAAATGTAGAGATACAAAAGGGCCACAGATAGCTTCCAAATCATCTGTGGGATGCCCTCCTAGTCTTTAGGAATGCCTTCCCCATAAACCCCTTTTTTCCATTCTAGGTACTCGGGCTTCCCTCGCACATGCTCAAAGCAGGCACATGGATGTGACACTCCAGCACTGGAGTAGCCTACAATGCAGCACCTGGGGTAGGTGGGGCAATCTTTACATTTTTTTTTTCAGCGCTCAAGGAAGAGAGTAGTGGGCACAGCAGCAAATTAAACAGGTCAACATAGGACTAGATTGGAATGACTGTTTGTATTTTGGAGGGAGAGGGCCCAATTTTCTCATGGTGTTTTGTCCCAGGCCTTTCCTTTTTTTTTTTGTTTTTTTGGGTATACTAAAAAAAATCAGTGGGAAATGGTAGCACCATCTCTTCCTCTACGCTGCAGTGGCAGACCAGAGTCCCTCAAATATGTTGGCTTAAATTACAAGGGAGCAGATTCTAGCTGGATATCAGAAGAAGTTCAGAAGGAAAAAGGCTGTCCAGAACTGGAAGAGACCGTTGCATGGAGGAATGGACCTTCCTCCTCTGGAGGCACTTAAACGGAGGCTGGATGGCCTTCAGCCAGGGTGCTGCAATTCCTGCCTGGGGTGGGGGTTGGACAAGGGAACCTCCAAAGCCCCTTCTGAGCCTTGCATTCTTGGGGTCTAGGATCCTCTAGCCTCCAGCCAAATGCTATTTGGGCGGGGGTCCTAGGAGTGAGCCAAGTGCATCTTTAACAGCCCTTTCCCAGCATCTGCCCCTGCTATCCTTGCCCGACAGGCTCTTCACCTACCCGGTGAGCGCAGAGCAACCTTGGGTCAAGCAGTCCCTCTTCCCAATTTTGTTGATGCAGTCACTGAAGGCTGTCTTGATATCGGGGATCGACAGGCAGTTCTAGAGGAGGAAGAGAAATCAAGAGTTAAGCTTTGGCAAATGTCTTTGATGAACCGCTCAGAACTAGCATAGAATGGATAGCCTGAAAGACCTCGGGGACTCTGCTATCTCCTGAAAAAGGTGGGGGGCAGATATCACACACCTAGATTGGGAGGGCTTTCTCAACTGTCTCTGCATTAAACAACTCTGCCCCAGGAGCGCCGTGCTTTTTAGTCTGTAGGGGTTTTCTCCATATAGCCCAAGTTATGGACATTGCTGGGTTTATGATGTAATGCAAAAATGTATGTCTGGGCTATGCTTCACACAACTGTGCCCTCTGCTTTAACCCCTGGGCCACACATAAAAAGAGCCACATCTCAGAACTCTGCACACAGAAGCGTGTGTAAATTCTGAAAATGCTTAAAACTGTAGGCATAACCGCAGCTCTGTGGCCCAAGATGTTTATCAGGACTGGAATTTGGGCACGGCAATCTAGCCAACTGAGAGGGGCTGCAAACTATATTCTAACATCCAGAGTTGTTTAGAACCAGGCAATTATTCAATCCATGCAAATAAAATACATTTGTAAGCATTACTACCCCTGCTTTTCCTTGAGGTTGATCATTTTGGCAATTCTAGTCTGTTGACAGAGGATGAAAATCAGTTTTCTTCTAGCGCAGTGTTTTTCAGCCTTGGGAACTTTTAGATGTGTGGACTTCAATTCTCAGAATTCCCCAGCCAGCCATGCTGGCTGGGGAATTCTGGAAGTTAAAGTCAACACATCTTAAAGTTCCCAAGGTTGAGAAACACTGTTCTAGCGCATGTCTGCCTTGTGTCCTGGACCAGAACTCCTGTTGGAAATTTGGAAGTTACTGTTCCACACATCTGTACTGTACTAGGACTAACCAATACCTCTGGTCTGCTGTGGAAATTCAGAATTAAAAAGAATTCTGTATCAGGCTGGGATTTTTTAAATAAATAGTCCTGAGAGAAAGCTGTGTTTTCTTTCACCTTTTGATGGTTGTCTTATTTGTTACATTAACAGGGTATAGAATATGGCTTGTAAACCTTGGATTACAGATTTATTTTTGCAAGATTCCACACACTCTGGGTAAGCAGACACTTTTATCCTAACATTCAGCCCTTAATCTATCTTAATGTTGCTTCGGTTACTCTTATTCTAAAGCTGGAATTAGTTCCATCACTTCTGGCTATTAAAACCTGCAAATACATTTCCAAGCCCTGAGATTGAGATCCACCTGATTCAAAATGCCCCATTTTGCTGCTGGCTTTAATCCGAATAACGAATTGGACTTTGGAAGCAAGTTTACAGCCTTGCAACCAAGCCCCGAGCAAAGAAACACATAGATATAGAAACCGAAAGCAATTAAATTCTAGATTTGCATATGTTTTTGAAGCCATGTCCTTAACCCAGGAGGCAGTTGTTGAAAGGTTTCAGTGCAATGTTAGAAGATGCTTTCTGAAAACTACAGAAAGCAAAACTTTCCTAAAATGAGTATTTACAGAATTGGCTTTTGCACCAAAGCATTTCCTGTACTCAAGAACAAAGCAGACATTGTCCACCACTTCAACTATACTTGAGTGCATGCACGGTTAAGTCACTTGAGTGCTCAGCTTAGGTGAAAACAACAGCAGCTGGATGATTTTTAACAAACAAGCTTGGAATCTCCTGGAAGGGGGAAACATTGTTTGCTCACAGTAGGGCAATTCCCCGCCATTGTAATAGCATTTTCGGGGAGGGAAGATAGTCTCACTCTGCCAGGAAATCTTGCCTGTGACCAGCGTTTCTGTTTTGGCAGAGGTGGGGTGTGATGTAATGTGTTTATCTGTTCAGTTGGGCAGTAAAGACAAGCCCAACTGCTGGTGCACCGGCTGCTTGGCTGCCCAGGCAGGGTCCTTCCCTGGGCTTCCCGACCTGGCTGCTGGACTGATGGCGGAGACCCTCACCATTTGATGTTGGGGGACTTCAACTTCCATGTTGCAGGTATCAGGCCAAGTTGGGCCCTGGAATTCATGGCAAACAGGGGCTTGTCTCAGGTGATGTCAGACCTACTCTGGACCTTTGCTTCAGAGCAGTTGCTATGTTACCTGGATGTGGTGGACATTACCACCAACCCTTGGCCATGGGTGGAACACTTCCGATCCAGATGCGAGTGAGTGCCACCTCTGTAGGCTGACCATATTTGAATGGTCCATGCCAGGCAACTCATGGATCTTAAACCTGGAGAGTTTCTTGACAATCTGGTGGTGAATCTGTTGAGCTCCTGGTTCATTGTTGGCCCTTGGTGAAATTGCCAAGTGACTCTGTTGGCTGATCCTGGATGGCTCCTTGGTTAACCAAGATAGTGGGAGATGAAGCAACAGAAGTGACATTTAGAGTGCCAGTGAAGAAAACCAAGAAGTGAACCTGACCAAGCACAAGTTATGTGCCCATGTTTGGGCTTCTTCCATAGCAATAAGAGAGGCAAAATGCCATATTTCTTCTTGTTTCCTGCAGCTGTCTTTTGGGTAGTTTATCCCCTTAGGAAAGAGTCAACAATAAGAGCCCCATCTGGTCATTGTGACCAATTAGCACATTTCGCTGACAAAGGTGCCCAGATTTGCTATGGTTATGGCTGGTATTCAGGGAGTCTGTGGGAGGCGCCAATAAAGTCCAGATGGTGGCTGCAACAGCCCCTTTTTAAATATGTGTTGCATGCATGACGTTCATAAAAAAAGGTCAGGACTTCAATCATGCAGCTGTGGCCACTATCTGGACTTTTCTCACTCTTTAAATCTTTAAGATCTTTAAAAGTCAGCACCGGTACGGAATGGATTAAACTCATCCCTTCTCTTGAAATGTCAACGTAAGCAAAAGAATTGACTCACAGCAAGCTAGCTAATGCAACAGCAACTTGGGCCAACCTGCACAGCCATCAACATTTCCTAAGACACCACATGGGTGGTATTTTTGAACGATGTCATGCTATCCTGAAATTCTTCAGTAATAGAACCTCTGTTTCCAAAACATTCACACTGCGGTCAAAGATGAGCCATATATTTTTAAAGCATTACAATGCACAAGGACACAAAAGGACAGTTTACTCATCAAGCAGAGGGAACAGGGAAACACATGTTTTTGTAGAAGGTTCATGAATGAGAACTTTAAGTAATGTTTCGAAGAAAAAGTCTTGCTGAATAGATGATGTTGGCTTGTGCCCAAGAAAAAAGAGAGTAAGCCTACACTTAAAAGCAAAAAAACTAATTGCAGAAGAACCACAGAAACTTTGAGGTGGTTTAATTACACACTCATCTTCACCGAGCAGGGAGAAACAACAGCTTCTGGCATCGCATATCACGGGTACCCGTGTCTCAGCTGCTGACGTTTTGTAAGATTTTGTTCATCTCAGAGGATATTTTGGTCATTTCTAGAATTTAACTTTAAGAATTCATAGACTAGCTAAGGTAGCCACAGACCACCCTCTTGAGTGCTGCCCTGCCTTCTGGAGCAAGAGCTTGAAAGTTTGTCCTTTTGCAGGTACTGGAAGACGTTGATTGCATTGACTGTGTCTCCCACAAACATACGCAGCTATTTCAAATGGTAGCAACCAGGAAGTCCAACTTCCAAGTCAGGGGAAATAACGGTGCCACTCTCTCCTGCACGGCTCAGAGCACACTTGAAGTACTGGATCTGGGTCTGGGCACCACAAACTGGAACAGGGCGATAAGAATGATTGGGGAATTAGAAACTAAGTCCTATGAAGAGAGATTGGAGGAGCTGGTCATGTTCAGTGTTGAAAACAGATCACAGAAGGGGAATATAACATTTTTCAGACACCTGTTTCTTTATCTTTCCAGAGAACAGGACATGAGAGAAGGAATTTCTTTTCATTATCAAGGCAGATTCAATTGCATGTTTCCTCTCAATCTCACGATGGAACCAATCACTCAAAAGGTGGTGGTGTCCTCTTAGCAGGGTTTCTGGAAGCAGAGCCTGGATGATTCCCTGTCCAGGATGCTCTGATTCGGATTTCTGCAGAGTGGAAGTTGGGCCTAATGATCAAAGCATCTCTTCAAACTCTAGGATGCAATGATACTATGACTTCATTGCTAGAGGTCCTCACCAATCTGCTCCCTATCCTTTGGATTGGATTCAGTTTCTCAGCATCTACCTTCCACCATGTAACCTAGAACTGGCAATCGTACTTTAGTTGTGAGATGACCAAGGCAAAATATAATGGGAATTTCATATCAGATCCTGTAGATACTCTGCTCTGCTTTCCAACAGCCACATTGCAGTGGCTTCCCAGGTTTTCTTTAAATGTAAAGGCAGGATTGCATCTGTGAGTTTCCATCATATTGGTTTCTCTCACTGCCCCATAACCATTTCAATCTTAATCCTACTCAATCCTACCCTTAATCTTACTCAAAGATTACTCAGATCCATCCAAGCTTTGTACCAGTTGTCTCTCTCCACACTCTGCTTTCATCCAAACCACTTGGATACCTTCTCTGGTTTGATGCAGAGCCTTTAATGGACTCTTGCTGGGACTGGGATATCGCAACTGTGCACCCCACCTTTACCTGCTCTTGAAAGCTTTCCCAATCAGAGGCCACATTTCTACCCCAGGTGATTTCCACCAGAACCTACAAGCTAAGGCCTTGGATCTTTAGCGAATGCACTATCACGGTGGATTTCCTGATGAAGTCTCATTTCCCACTCCTAAGTTTCATATCTGCTCATTCTCATGGAGCTAAGAGCCTTCCTACAGAGCTAGCTTGATAACCCAGCTGAAGGTATGCCAAAAAGAACTGCATCATGTTGCTTGATTTAAAAGAAAGGGGCAACTTGTTCATGCATTGTTCCCAATAGGCAGCACAACAATTCTTCATCCTGGAGCTTCAGCAGCAACACCTCATCTTGACACTAGAAACTGCACTCCTGTTTCAGAGAAGGTGCCTGCAAATACATACAGTGGCAGGAGGAGAACTGTTCAGTTTGTCCAGAAAGCCATCTTTGGAAGCCTCCCACCAAAGAGGCCTGCCTAGAGGGAGACACTACCTACCTAAAGAATTTGCCATGTCACCCACTGAGAATCCTCCATTTCTGAATGGAAAGGCCATCTTTGTAAGAACAGAGAATGTCAGCCTTTATGTTTCACATTCCAAGGGACCTGATGCCATTCCTCTGAAGACAAAACTGCAGACAAAACCCACCTTTTTTTGCTAACTCTGACTGGGCATCTTGCAATTGAAATAGGAACCACACAAAACTGGGCACATGGAATGGAGTCCTGAGCAAGCCCAGAAGAAAGCAGAACCATGGTCAAGATTATTTATCTTCTTTTCTGTCTCCAGTTCACACTAAAAGGCCTTGTCTGGGTTTTTCCTAATTTTTTCCAACTACTGTCAGGAATACAGTCTTAGCACTGAGAGAATGAAGCATGTGGGGAGCATATCTAATTTGAGAATTGAACACCAAAACAGAGCACACAATGCTTGACACATTTCCTGTGTACATTTGTAATCCTGCAGCCTTTTCCAGACAAATTTCAAAGAATACCAGGGTTCATTTGGGACAGTAAATCAGCAATTGTGCTTATAATGCCTTAAACAGACAACAGCCTTAAAAGTAATAAAAGGTGAGATATATGACTGATTTATTATGCAAACCAACAAACTTTTAAGGCTGACTCTTGTTTTGAGTCAGCAGGCCCTACTAGTCAGTAAACAAGTGAGAACCTACATTTATTAGAGTGATGCATTAGATATTATTATTATTATTTTATTATTATTTATTTGACTTGTCCCTGCCAATCTCCCCACAACGGGGGACTCTGGGCGGCTT